GGTGGCCCCGCCCGGCTTGGGGCGGGGGCGGGCCTTCCGCTGTGACGTCACAAGGCGTGGAGCGGGGCCAGGCCGCTCCCAGGGAGTGCGGCCACATGGGTGGGCTGCCTCGGGTGAGTTGGGCTCCTGCTGCAGCTTCCCATGGGAAGGAATGGGAAATGTAACTAAAGTGCAGGGATATCTCTCCTTCCAGAGAAAATGCAGATCTTTGTGAAGACCCTGACAGGGAAGACCATCACCTTAGAGGTTGAGCCCAGTGACACCATTGAGAATGTCAAGGCCAAGATCCAGGACAAGGAGGGCATTCCCCCTGATCAGCAGAGGCTGATCTTTGCTGGCAAGCAGCTGGAAGATGGGCGCACCCTGTCTGACTACAATATCCAGAAGGAGTCTACTCTACACTTGGTGCTGCGTCTGAGAGGTGGAATGCAGATCTTTGTGAAGACCCTGACAGGGAAGACCATCACCCTGGAGGTTGAGCCCAGTGACACTATTGAGAACGTCAAGGCCAAGATCCAGGACAAGGAAGGCATTCCCCCTGATCAGCAGAGGCTGATCTTTGCTGGCAAGCAGCTGGAAGATGGGCGCACCCTGTCTGACTACAACATCCAGAAGGAATCCACCCTGCACTTGGTCCTGCGTCTGAGAGGTGGAATGCAGATCTTTGTGAAGACCCTGACAGGGAAGACCATCACCCTGGAGGTTGAGCCCAGTGACACCATTGAGAACGTCAAGGCCAAGATCCAGGACAAGGAAGGCATTCCTCCGGATCAGCAGAGGCTGATCTTTGCTGGCAAGCAGCTGGAAGATGGGCGCACCCTGTCTGACTACAACATCCAGAAGGAATCCACCCTGCACTTGGTCCTGCGTCTGAGAGGTGGTAACTGAACTGGCCCGGTTGTTGCTTGCCTCCAAGTAAAAGTTTCTCTTCGCTTGTTCATTCCAATAAAGCTGTTGCATCCACAAAATTGATGTCTCGAGTTCTGTGAACACCTATTAGTGCCACTCACCAGGTCTAGCTATCTATTAAACTATGATTACGCAGCTTCCACATACAAAGGTATTGCAAAACCGCCTTACGCAAGGCTTACACGTGCCTGGCAAGCGCAGCTAATCCTTGCGCTGTGGTTTTCCTGAGGTTGTATAAGCGTTTTCATAACTTGCTGAAGCGCTGGCTGAAGTTCAATGCCAGCCTGCAGATGTTGTGCAGCTGTTACGGTTGTGTAAGCAATCGTATGTAATGTGAAACTGCGATTGTTTTGGAGCTGGGAGGCTTTAATAATATTGCTGAGCCTGGTAATTGCCAGCTCCTGCCCCCGGTGTTTTGGCGTTAAGGGAGTAACAACCAGCAAAAGGGTAAATCCTACGCTTGGGTTGAAGGCCAGCAGCCTGCTCCGGGTGTCCCACGGCTGCGTGGTGGACAGGGGTGGGACATGACTGTTGAGCTGCAGCCCTTAGACCCGGGCGGGCTTGGGAAGTGTTCTGACTAGCGTGAGTCTCTCATCCAGTTACAGGGTAGACTTAGTTTTATAAAAAATTTAAGCATATTAAGCAAAGTTGGTAGTTTCAGATATGCTTGCTTCCTTCAAATTTTTTTTGGAATGTGCTTTCATTCTGGCTTTGCGCTAGGTGGAAATAGTATTAATGAGGGAAAACCAATACCACGGAGCAGTTCACATACACTGTAAAAACAGTTGTGTGAGGGAAGTCTCTGCTGAAGTATTTTGTGGTGATGTGGCGTTGCTGGATATGGGCACCCATGAACCGTGCTGTGCTGGTGAGCGGGAAACTAGGAATGTCCCCGAGGAGAGCGGTGGTGGGAAACCAGGAATGTGCTCATGAACTGTGCCAATGCTGGGGAGCGGGAAACCAGGAATGTCCCCGAGGAGAGCGGCTGTGGGAAACCAGGAATGTCCCTGAGGTGGGGAGGTGGTGGGACCTGCCTTTGCAAGGGGATGTGGTGGGGGTTGGAATGGAGGCTTCAGCTGATACCTGACCTTGGTGGGACCCGATGTGATCTTGGAAGGGTGGGATAGCAGGATCTGATTGGGGTAACGAATTGTTAATTACTCTTGATGAAGAGAGGGGTGGAAGATGCTTTTAGAAGGCCTCAGCCCACCCCAGCTAAGCGTAGGTGTCATGCTGTCAGTCATCTCCCACTGTGTCCCCGCAAGGGCTGGCTGGGCTCTGCCCACGCGTGTCCTCGCTGCTGGGGACGCAGACAAACAGTAGAGCTTCCTGTTGTGTGGGCTCTTTGGCCTCTTGAGTCGTCTGAATTCATGCAGCAATTAAAAGTTCAGCCCGTCAGCGGTTTTGGGTATGGAGTTCCTTGGCCGTGGGCGTCTGATCCAGTTCAGGGGTGGGTGTCTGGAATGAAGGGAGCTGCCCTTACGTAAGGTGGTGGTTTCACAGCTCCTTTCTCCACGTGCCTGGGAAAGCTCCTGGTGATCAAAAAGAGAAAGCTGGAAAAAATAACTGCAAGCAATTCTGATTTGCATGTGACCCAAATGCCGGGAGGAAGAGCTGCTGGAGGACATGGGGACACTTGGGGAACGTTAAAAGCCTACACCAATGACTGCAGTGCTGCATTTTAACAAATTATTTTAAACGCTTCAGTGGAAAAAAAAACCTACCATGCCGTATTTAAAAACTATAAAGCTGTAGAAATACATAACGGCAAAGCGGAGAGCTGCCGGGAGGAGAGACCCACCCCGTGGGCTCGTGAGCTGAGCCGGAGTGCTGGTCTCTGCCGGTGGCTTTGCTCGATTTGACGAATTTCGAGTGGTTGTTAACGGTGGCAGCGCCAACGCTTCAGAGTGTGGCACCCGTGAGTGGAGACCGCAGCTCGGATGGGATGAACCCCGGAACAGCCGTGTTTGATGAAAACAGCAGAGCGTTTCGTAAGCGTTACGGATGTGTTTTGTTCTAACCGTGGAAGTACCGGCTGTCTCGCTCGGGCGACTCCCCACGGTTCCATCTGTCCTGCCGTGCCTCGGGGTGTCTCCTGGGTTTATTGGGTTTTGAAGGAAAACTCCTTTCGCAGGATTTCTTTCTAGCAAAATATTTTAAAGTAAAAGAAAGCGCAGCAGCTGCTTTGTGCTGGCTCCGAAAGCGTTGCTGCTGGGGGAGTGGGGTATGGCCTGTGTTGAACGGGGATGTATTAATTGGGCTGGGAATTAAACAGAGGTTAAAGGTCTAGAATTAAAAAAAGACATAATTAAGAGTAAAAATACAAACACAGGTGTCCCACCAAGGTGGAGGTGGTGGTGGAGTCCTCTACTGTCCTGGGTGGGGGCGGTGGGTTTGTGTCTCCCCGTGGCACCCACACATCGTGTCATGGCAGTGGCGTTCTGCGGGTGGGTGCGCTCCGGGTTGTGGACCCTTCGTCTGGGATCAACGGGCAGTGCGGACAGCGGGATGGGGCGGGTGGTTGTTTAAAAATAGGCTGTCCCAAACGGTGCTCTTCCCTTCGATTTTTTATTTTCTGCTGACCTCTAGGCACTTTTAGGGACGAGGCTCAACCGGGCTCTACTCAGGGCCACTTTTGATGCACAAGATACACAAAACCCCCCCAATTCCTTGGGAAAAGGGCAGTGGGTTAAGCGGTGATGGACGGTTTCTCCTGGGGGTTGAGCCCAGACACCAAATACCTGCTGTGACAACAGGCTCGCAGCCACCCTGCCTGCTAATACGGCTGCCATGGGGGGACCTGGTCCCTCCTGGGGGTGACAGGGGCCATATATGTGTGTATATATATATTGATATACACACACGTTTATTTTTTCATCTATTCGTGTATTTTTATACATTTACATATGTATATCTATTTA